CCGCGAGGATGGAGAAATATTTACAAGTTCAAAAGTCGAGGGAAAAAAGCCGCCCTCGTGAAATCGTCGATGTTATGTTGCATGGGGAGGAGAACTGGCGCCCGGACGAAGATCAAACCACGTGTTATATATATATTGGGCTTCGTTTCGTGCGAGCGGCGGGGAAAAGTTTTTCGAGACAAAAAAGCGGAATAATATCTTCGTCGCGTGTTCGAAGAACACAATAGCCCAACAATGGAACACATGGAATACTGCTGACTGTACAACAGAAGGGATACACCTCCCCCCCTCGGACGAAATGTACTTGATAAGCTCTGGCTGAACTTGATTTCTTTCTTTTGTTTTTTTTTTGTTTTCATACAAGTAACGAGCAGTTGTCAACGGCTGTACGCAGACCTCGAAAAAAAAAAAAATCTCATTCGTCATGGGACGATCTTGATTAAACCTTTCGATCCCGTTGATTTTGCCACTTTTTTTTCGTGCCTCCAGCCACGAACCTCTTTTTTATACTCACACGACGATAATGCCGCATCTCCCCGTGCGTGGCAAACGTTTTTTCAGAGGTTACTATAGATAACGCTATTACTGTCACTGCTCACATTAGAATCTATATTGTCCGTCTGAGCAACTGTATATATTTATTATCTGCGTTTGACGATAATTTAATTAACTTTAAATCGTCTGGCGATAAATTCATTGTTAAATCCTCGTTACCTATATTTATATACCGAATGGGGAAGCTCTTCGAGATATTTTGTTGATACACCTATATATTGTTTATAGGACCATTACTAACATTGCAATTTTTAGCCAAAACCGTGGCATTTAATTTTAATTGAAAAAGGTTTTGGTTACTTTTGGTGTTTTTCACGTGAAACAAACGATGTACATTCTCGTAAAGAAACGTGATATATGGCCTGTAGAAATTTTCCACGATTTATCTTTGAACTATATGTACGTGGCACTCAACCATCGGTAAAACCCAGAGAGGAGGCTCGTCCGCCGTCGTATCTTATCGCGTTTCGAACTCCCGATTGGCGCCACGAGTCCGCGAACGCTGTTGAAATTCTTCGGGAAAACTGTATGGCGAGCAAAATTGACGGCCGCGTACGCACAGTACAACCCTTTTTTTTTTACGAAAACCGACGATAAGGACAGCTGCTGGGAGGGTAAACCTCGAGACACCCCATGCGCACACATCGCATCACTTTACTTTTGTTTTTTCTTTTCTTTTTTCTTCACCCCAGAGCCATCAATCCTGGGAGAGGGAGAATATTTTCTGTGAAAAAACTGGGTTTTTTTTTTCAAGCACGCGAGTACTTATACCCGTCTGGTGCGGATGTCACGTATTTAGCCGTGATGGACGAGCTTTGCGTGAAAGAGACGTTCTTCTTTTTCGCAGCTCACGAGACTTTAATTTACCGAGAGTGAGCTATGGGATTTTCGGTTTAATATCCAAACGTTCATTGTAGACCTTCGCATCACTGGAAAATAAGCTTCAGTACCTCATACGTACATTATATGCATTTCAATAGAGTACGGCCAAATTGTACTAAGCTCTTTTTTGTTCGGTAGCTCGCGCCAATCACCGAGAGAAAATAATTACTTTATCCCTATGCCGTACTTTGGATTTGTTTCATAAATACTCTTGATTCCCCAAGATTTAAGACTTAATGACTGAGCTTTTTAAATTTTTGATACGCGATAATGATTTATTACGTGGATTCGCAAGTACTCCTTTTTTTATTTTGTGTAATTTTTTATGTTGATAAACACTCATTTGAAGGAAAGGTGTATTAATTCACCTTTTTCTTTCAATTGATAAAGAAGTTTAAGTGAAGTGCCCTTGAGGTTTTTTTATTTTACAGCTACATCGTTCAATATATCGTTGTTGGTAAAATAACATACGTTATGCCGCGACAAAAATAGAAAAACGATGTTTCTGTCCAATTATGACTCTCGGAAAAGTCAATAAAACTATTAACGCTGAAAACAAACATTACCGATTGTCTATAGTACTCATACGTGCCAATTAATGTAATTCCTAACAATTTCAAATTTTTTTTATAAACCTTACGGTTTTTTTTTAAATCAAATGAGAAAATCGTCAATTGAGCCGAAGAACAATCGATACAATGACTTAATGTATGCTTCTTCTTCCATTTCAAAGATCAAAAATCTGATTTCTTTGTCCTCCCGGGTGATGTCATTGCCGCAAAAAACGAAATTCGTGTACATGCACGAGCTCGCTAGCACATAATTTATGCAATAAATCCTCGAGCCTTTATCCCCGAGCAAACAAATCCAACGAAACGCGTACGCGTGCATCAACACTGTAAAAACGTAAGGCAGGGAGTTGTTAATGACGCGGCGCCTTGAAATTGTCAATTGCGACGATCGTTATCCGACAGATGCCGAAACGCCCTTGGGTCGACTCTTCTCTTTTCGAGCAAACATCACAAGGAGGGAAAACAAAGAGTGCGCGTCTATACGCAAAAAGGAGGCTGCAGGTGTACTTACCTATACTCGTTCCATTGTTGCATCGGAGACTTTTGTATATGCCCAGGCCTCGATAATTGGAGGCAGACTAGTGCTGGGCCCCCCACACACGACGCCTCGTGTGACAGAAGAAAACGTCTTGTTGCACGTGCGGGCGACAATTTATGACCAAAAAAACAGTGATGTCGACGATTTCGAGGCACATACAGGTGTAAAAATAATAAAATTATCGACCCTGTAAACAAAGTTGGCGCGAAGCCGACCTTGCAATCGTCGTCTCTGGAAGACTAAAACAGCCATATCTCCTCGCGGAATTTTTCTTTTCCCCCATTGCAGTACAATTGCGCGTTTATGCGCGGATGCAAAAACTATGCCGAACAATCGAATAAAGCCGTTTTTTTCCGCTGCTTCTCTCAAATTCGCGTCACGATTCGCGAAACTTATATTACCCGGAAAATGTCGTTCAAACAACGTTGCGTCACCATAACGATATACACAAACCTTTTTTTTTTTTTTTTTTTTTTTTTTCTTATCTTACCAATGATCCCTGAGATAAAGTGAATTTTTTTTTTTACGAGCAAAAAAGTGCCTCTGTTGTATTTACTTTTTTTTGCCTTCTCGTTCCGCTCCAGCTGAATTAACAAATCAAACCGGAAGGCCGCGAGATCAACCGTGTCAAGATCCTTCCGCCTACTTTGTAAGTGTATACACCCATGATCCTCGAGGCCGATCAATCGCCGGACCTGCGTTTTTTTTTTTCCGCTTCGCGATCCATCATTTCAAAGTTCCCACCTAAATGTCACAACCGCGCGTGGCGTCAACCCAAAGTCGGCAACTTTTTGGAGCTTCCGAGCTTACGTCACGGCTGACGTGCTCAGCCCCGGTGTGCAAGTAGCGCGGAAGGAAGGGAGCATCGGTTCCCGAGTGGAAAAGAAAGTTATGCTAAACGGGGTACATCTCTTCCGAGCGATGTGCTCTTTTGATCGGTATTTCATGTAGATGTACGAGAATACGTTTTTTTTTCCTTCCTCGAATAGTGTAAAAAAAAAGTTTTTTTTCTTATAGTCACGAAATCATTGCGTAATCGCGATTCGGTAAACACACAAAATAAGCATGTTCGTACGGTGTTTAAGAAAAATTCATCGTGAGTTTCCTCTTGTTCGACACACGACTTTGTTTTGAAATATCTCCGAGACAAAAGAAAACAATTGTCAATGCATCTGCAGCGATAACATTTTTTACGTAACGGACGTTTTCACTCGCGCAAACATGTGTAACATTATGTCCGATAAGTTTCTCGAGTGCAGCGATACGAAATCAGATCGAAGGGCTATATACGATCTCCACAGCAGAACAGCGATAAATCGGTATAAAAAATTACCTCTATCTTTGCTGGGTCGCGCGACACGATAATCGCGTGCTCTGTGCCTCGCCAGATATGAGTATATTTATTTAAAAGTGGAATGGACTTTTCCTCTTTGACGAGCACGTGCAGGTGTACGCCAATTGTTGACTTGTTCTCGCTATGATTTTTTTTTTTTTTTTTTTTTTGAGGAAGCATACATATAGTTATGTGCCTCAGGGTTACCACGAAATGGCTGAGTGTTTTTTTAAGTCCCGTGATAAGAACCAACCGAAGCGATTTATGAATCAATTTGTCCTTTCGGTGCACTAAAAAATCGAAGATGAATCAGTAAAGAATAATGAGCTGTTGTAATCTATAGATAAGCTATTAAAAAGAGCAATATATTTGATGACTGTACGGCTAGCGGCTATTTGAAACACGTCAATGAACGCGATTAGAGTATACGTTGGATTGTCCATACGTGAAGTAAATGATTTAAGAGTAACGCGTGACAATTTAGTCATCACCGCGTGTTTTGGGATTTACATTATACAAGTACTTTTTTTTAGAAAAATAATGGCTTTCGCAAATTGGCTATGATTTGTTTTTTAATCATCGCTTTGAAGCGTTGAATGTACTTACACCCATTTTGAGTTGGGTAATTTTAATACTTTGCGCTGTTGGTGAAATTTTCGGAACAAAGGATCAACCGATGGAAATGGATCGTAACGAGGGTTACTTAAAGTATTAGCTAAAATAGATCAAACGCCCCGATAGCGTTTCCTATATACCTACACCCAGAGTCGGTTCACATGGACACGCTCAAATGATTCGTGCGGCCTTGGACTCTGCGACGATTACAATAACGCGATGCTCGCATTGTCGACAACACAATCTACCTTTGCTCTGTGTACACACAGCTCGAAAATTAAATTATTTGTTTGACGCGTGGACGCTAATTTTCGTCACTATCAAAACACGCAAAGACCTAATATTGCTCTCGAGGAATCGTGTATAGTACTTTTAACCCAAAGTATAGCCACGAACGGTTTTGTCCAAAAATGGAAAATTGAATTACACGCCCCTTATCGATAACATGACACATGAAATTGGAATGAAGTAAAGAAGTCACGCTATTGTAATTTTTGTGTTTCAGGACCAAGCACGTGGGGCGACAGATTCCCAATGGCAGCGGGCTCGCGCCAGAGTCCCGTGAACATCGAGACCGAAAACGCCCAATCCGACCATGAGGCACTGCTGAGCAAACCACTGCGATGGAAGTACCCGGCCAATGCCTCGCGCAAGCTCGTCAATCCGGGCTACTGCTGGCGCATCGACACCGACGGCGAGGGCACCTGTAAGTATATAACCATCCAATTTATCGTCATGCATAATGCATCGACGCTCGCTTTTGTGGAGATAAAGCCGTACTTTTGCGCGAGAAAATATTGCCGGTGTTTGCGAGTAATAAGTTTAAGGGTAGGAAAACAATTACTTTAGAGTACCCATGCAATCGGCGAGATCCTCCGCGGAACAATGAGTAATTGGATGGAACAACGAGCGGCTCGTTGAAATGTAAAATTAGCTTGTCTCCGAGTCGACATGCGCATCGCGCATGAATGCGATCGTCATCGGCAACACAATAGATACACGTAATTACGATTTCAAGGTCAATATCGTAGTTTCCCCTTTCGATTGTTATTGGGTTAAAAGGACTCGAAACGTCGAATACTAATGGCAACGGCAACAATTTTCATCGCGTCACACAGTTTTTCTTCTATGGGGTTTCACTGGGACATTGATTTCTTTCGTGATAGTGAATTCATCGACTATTCCAATATTTTATTTATCGTGGTTTAAAAAAAACACGAGAAGAAAATCAGTACAAAGTTAAATTGACATTTTACGCTGCAGTATTAACGAGGGCGTGTACCGAAAAACCGAAATTGACGTGGAGTGAATAAATAAGAGGGTCAATTTTACTGTCTCTGACTAAACAATACGATGCGTGTAGCAAAAGTTCTCGAGAGAGAGAGAGAGAGAGAGAGAGAGCACTTTGTACGTCTTTGATTGTTCGAGCGAGCCTATATTGCGACTACTTTTCTCGATGCGGCTCAATTTGCATAATTTTGTATTTCCGTGCGCGTACCCCGAGGGAGACAGAACACAAACAACAGAGTGGCGACTGTCGTCGCTTCCATATTTGACGTTCGTGGCGCACGGGTGGAAACGTTTTTACATCTTGTTGGTAAATAAAACGAAAACAAAAAATAACAAAATGATAAACAAAAGCGCTTTTTTTTCAATTCATCGTATATATATATATATGGCAGAAAGGTATGCTGGTTGAGAATGTAACAGGTAAAATTTTATTGCAATCAATGAAAAGGGGATTGATCACGCAAATTGAACAGCTCACGCGAACGCCCGTAATACTTTTAATAAAAGCAGCGTGTGACGGCTATTTTATCCGAATCTAAATAATTTAGCCGTATAAGCATGTACATTGTAGTTTCGATCGCGTGTGCTCTTATGTTCACTACGTATACCGCAGGTATAAAACTTGTACGATATAGACTTAAGTGTACATCAATGCAAATACTTAAACATTCATTTACGCGCACGAGCGACATGAGTTGCCGAGGCGCTTTTTGTGTATGTATATTGTTGTAGAAGCTGTGTCTGTATGCGTAATGTTCGCCAACGCGGATATCCTCATAATATTTATTACAATACGGTTGTACGGAGTTTTTTTGACTCCTGAATTATTAATCAGTTTTTTTTTTCGACCAACGTCTCACAACTTGTACAGCTGAGTCTCGCTAGTTCAAAGATTTCGAATCAAATAATCTTTAAGTAGTTTTGGAATTACTTTTTTTTTGTTTGTCCATCATATCTTGAGAATATTTTAATAAAAGTGGGCTTTATCTTGAATTAGTCATTGTTAAATGAAAAAAAAAAAAAAAAAAGAAGTGAAATAACAGTGTACTTTTAATATTAAATGTTGAAGCGATAAATTTGACACTCGTGTAAACCACTCGCACGTGACTTGAATAAGCATTTTTTTAGCTCATTCTTATGCAAATATTTCAGTGAAATACGAATTTCGTCACAGTCACGCACAAGTTTTTTTTTTTTTTTGAGGAAAAATGTATTGCCTGATGCTTTGTCAAAACATTATTTCTGACGATAAAAAAAAATACCCACTTGTTTCGCTGTATCTTAACGAGTAGCTGATCCTAAAATCCCCGAGACTCGCGCATTTGTGTCAAAACGGAGTTGTCAAAGGTACTTATTTTATAAACGTCTTAGCTCAAATCGATGCTCGTATTATGTGGATTGCCAACTTTGCACAGTAATCAAGAAAAGTCGAGTTGGGCGTAATTAGAAAACTCAGTTGCCAAGGCGTGGTGTACAAATAGTATTATTAATTAATTTTACGACCGGATTATTCTTTGCATCAACTGTTTGTCAGGGTACTGTTTTTTTTTTTTTTTTACTTTGCAGACGAACCATATTTTTAACAGAAAAACTGGGACGCGATTACATTGCGTACGAAAAGAATCCCGAGATTATGCTAATACCGCATAATTCCTGGCTTTGAAAGAAAAAGTAGATGATGACAAATCGCGGGGCTTTGAGAAAAAAAAAAAAAAAAAAAAAAGCTTCAAGGAAGATGGATGAATTGCAAAGATACCTCGTGACCTTCGGTAGGAAAAAAAAAAACAGCGGGTTAAGATATTCTGCGAACTCTTTAAATCAAAATGCAAAAGCGCGATTTTTCGTACACTTTCCTCGTTGAGCATAATCTCGATAACCACCGGCAAACGTGAAAAATGAAAAATCCGATTGTTCCGAGCGTAGAAAAAGAAAAAAAATCCAACGGCATAATTATTACATGCAACGCGGAAAAAAACTCAACTGTTGCGTTTGTCGCGAGTTCACGGAGAGAAATATCAGAGCACGCAGTATTTGCTCATTGAAATCATTGCTGTACAATGCGTGAATATATGTTTAAAAGCTTCGGCTGATGTAACAATAAAAATATAATCGAGCGGCTGTTTTTCCAGAAAACCAGCTGGACAAAGTTTCCTGCCCTGCACGCGCACGTGAGCTCATTGTTGTCCAACTCCAGATCCCGTTTATTAAACAGCGCCTTTAATTGACATAATACGCGGCCAATCTCACTTTACGACTGTTGTGCTTGTAAAGTCGCAGTAGACGAGGCAAAAAAAAAAAAAAAAAAAAAACCTGCAATACAATTGTTGGCAATGATTTTCGTTGTACTTATCGTTGAGATAATATTGTTGTTTCTTAATAAATAATCGTCACAACACAATATATCATGAATTATGATTTTTCAATAAATCGATCGTCGCTCCAGACAGTAAATACCAAAGTTTTTCCACCCAAACTAGGGGCTCTTCGAAGCTGCGCAAACTATGCGGGCTCTCCCAAAATAGCTAGGGGCGCCAGATAGAGTCCCGATGCTCCGACGCGCGGAATAAATTTATCCCGGAGGGAGGAGGGGGAGTTTCCTCGGTTTGCATTTCGGAGGTGCCGAAATTCGTTAGGCCTGACAAACGCAAGTAGATGGAATTTCGTCAAGGTCAGTCTGTGGAAACCGAAAGAGAGAGAAAACACCCGTGGCGCTGAACCAAGGAAATTCACCCCATTAATTTTGATTTATTTCACGAGGGGGTGACTAAGCAAAGGGTACATTCAGGACGGACGATAAACAGTTTCTTGTAATCGTCCCTCCCTCTTTCCCAATAAACTTTACCTTGTGTGTACATATATATACATATATATATATATATGTTTATATATATATATATATATATATATT